TTAGTGTTCACCGCGACTCCTTAATTTTTTCGCTAAATTTGAAGAAGCAAACAGAAACGAAACAAAACGACGTAGCTTGTAAGGCAATAACGGGAAAAAGTACTTTAAATTTTATGACTTAAGGTTAATTTCACACTAAATGTTGCATAGAATTGTTCTTTTTTTTTAACTAATGATCGTAAGATTTGTGACATTATGACTAGATGCCATGGTTGTAATTGGGTTGAACATAAAACTGTAGGTATTAATTTTTTGTCTCAGTTCTTTAGTAAATAAATGTAGCTGTATAAGTATATATTCACGCGGACAGCATTTAGCTATGATTTTGTACGTGACCCGTTATCTAGTTGGTATTGTTGATCTAAGCGAAACAAGATCTCCCGCACTCCACTTTAAGGCCGGCCACACACATAAGGAATTCCGTTTCGGGATTTCGTTTCGGAATTCCGAGCTGGTCGGCTACGGAATTTACACGGAATCCCGTTTTGCCCGCAAAATTTCGAACGGAAAACTACCGTACGTGTTTGACGGGTCATATATTTTATATGAACTTGCTGCGTTCTTGAATCGGAATATCGAAACGGAATCCCGAAACGGAATTCCGTATGTATGTGGCGGGCCTTAATCGTTTTATTCATGTTTAAGGTCGGCCACATACATACGGAATTCCGTTTCGGGATTCCGTTTCGATATTCCGATTTGGAATCCCGAACGCAGCAAGTCCATATAAAATCTATGACCCGCCACACACGTACGGTTTTTTTCCATACGAAATTTTCTCCGATTCGAGATTCCGTATGACCGCCTGTGCGTTTGGGATCCCGAACGGAAAAAAGCTGCTTCGAACGCAAGTCTTCCATAGATTTTGTACGAGTCGCAACACACATACGTCAATTCCGTACGGAACGCACTCAGTGATAGCAGGCAGGGTAGCAGGCAGCCGGGCGCTAGCGCCGCGCTAGAAATAGTTTCCGCGCTGGCCGACGCCGAGCGCTGTCGCGCGATATCATATATCTGTGCGCTGTGGAAAGATAGCGCGCTATAATATGACGCTATGCGCTATATTAACCACCACTAATATTATGCCGCGTGTGGACGCACAACCACCAAGCATGTGGATGCTTGTAGAAGTGGACGTTGAATCAATAAACTGTTTTTTTAACGGGTTTTCATTCGTCAATGTTGCAAATGCAATGAAAAAACAAGTTGAAAATATTAGCTGTCAATTTACGTCAACACACTCAACGAATTATTTCAATATTATTTTATTTCTTTCTATGAATTTAGTCTCCTTCTTAGACATGGCGTTAATGGTTAAATTAATTTTAATTGTTAAAAGTTATTTGTTAATTTTTTTAACAGATAAAATTAACAGTTAAAAATATTACTTACTTTCATATTGAATTTTTATTTTTAATCAGTTCATGTTAATTTTGTTACTTAAATTTTACGCCGGAAATTTTAATTGAATGAACATTTCTTCATACTTTAATAGGCACAGGAATCTATAGTGTTAAAAAGTCTTATTAAGCTAAGCGTATTTCAAAATTTATTAATTCAATATTTACATTATATTATAATTAACGAGAAAATGTTGATTATTTGCAATGATTATTAGGTATTTAGATTTACTCTAAAAAATATATTATATATGTTTAGTAATTTATATTTTCTGCATTCAATTTTTTATTGATTCTTTTATTAAGTAAACATGGTTATTAGTTATATTTTATTAATGTTCAGAAACATTATTTGTTCGATAGTTTTTTTTACCTTAATTACATATTGTCTCCGGCACATTTTTCAAAATGATCCCACAACTATATGTTACGTCTCGGCTACTACTAAAATCTTATGTTTGTATTACCGTTTTTTATTATTTAGTGTAGTGACACTAAATGTGAAGGCTAAATTTTAATGTAATAAATCAAAAGAATACATATATTGACTGTGGTATTGATGTTTATAAAGAATATTTTCTTTCGAATAACACTGCTTCGTAAACTGCCATCTATTCCATTTTATAGGTAATGTCATTTTATCGAACGAAAATGCGACCCCCCACCCCAGCCTGCAAAATAATGATATTTGTAATAAAAAAATGCTAGTCGACGTATTTTTAATAGCACATGACGATTATACTTGTATTTGTAATTGCACACTCTCCAATTTTTTATAAAAAATCAAAAAGTAAATTATGGTTTTTACTAGTACTGCAGTATCGATATCTCCGTAAATAAAGTTTTTTTCTAATTGCACAGAGTGCCAATAAATTGCACATATCTCGATTGTAATTGCACAATAACGTATTGTTATTGCACATACTTAATTTGTTACAAAAATTAATAATTAAGTAAAACTGACGGTCGCCGCCAATATGCGCTATACGCAGCTAGGGTTACCATCTGACCAGATAAAGCCGGTCTAGACCGGCTTTTACGTCAGACCGGATTTTTGTCATACTTGCATGTCCTCCCGCCCGCTCAAGCGACGGGTGCCGCACCTACTCACGCACTGCGCCCGGAACGCAAGCACACCGCACTGTGCGGGCGCGGGTGGCGCGGCACCCCGCCCGCTACCCTCCCTTGCATGATTGCATCGTACGGACGGACCGCAAATTAATGTAAACAAAGCTACTTGTGTTTATTTCTCGTCGTACGCACGCATCGTAATAATGGCGTCCGCAAACAAAAAACGTTGTAAATTCACGGATGTGTTAAAATCTAAATATCCTTCTTTTACTGAGGGTAGAAATGAACAAGAAGTTAAGTGTACTATTTGTGATTGTTTTGTGTCGATTGAATACAAAGGTGGAGCTGACATAGAAAAACCATTTAAAAACAGAAAAGCACTTAAAGAAGAACGGATTGTGCGCCAGTACAAGTAAGATTGATACTTTCATTACCCAAAAAGGTAACAAAAGTAGTGCTGTTGATGCCACGCTTGCTTTTCATGTAGTTAAACACCACTAATTTTACAAAAGTATGGACTGTACTTCGCAGTTACTAAAAAATCTATTTCATGATTCTGATTTGGCAAAAAATCTAGCCTGCGCAAGGATCAAAACAGAGGCTATTATAAATAATGTCATTGCGCCGTATACTATCGAAATTCTTCAGGCTAACAAATATCATTATTTTGCAGGCTGGGGTAGTGGGGAAGGGGGGGGGGGGGTCGCAAATTGAATGACTTTTAAGGTGGTACGTAAAAAAGACGCTAGATGGCATAAATAGGGATAATTTAATATAAATCCGTAAGGTAAGAAAATCGATCGTGGATTCGTGAATATTTTTGAATGGACTGGAATATGATAATTTTATTCATTATGGATAATTATGGCAGAATTGCTACAGGACCTGAGCACTATGCTCAATGACCTTAATAGTGTCTCCTAACGGATAGATCTTAAGATGAACATGGACCAAAGAGTATAGTAACTGTCCTATACGGAGGAATGAATTGTGGTTTATCAAATCTAATAATACAAGATGCAGGAGTGAACAAGCTTGATTGTGAGTGTGGTCTCTCATATATAGGGCAAACAAAACGATCTATAAAAACCCGCGTAAAAGAACACATAGCTGACCTGAAGCACCAACGTTCTGGGAAGTCTGCAGTTTGTGATCATATCCTAGACGGCCCCCGCCATTACATTAGATTTGATAAACCACAAATTCTCGCGAAAGAACATCGATTCCTGCCAAGGATGATACGTGAGGCTATTGAAATAAAAAAAAAATCCTAATTTCAATAGAGAGGGAGGCTGGGTACTACCACCTGCTTGGGATCCTGTAATTCATAAAATTAAAACTAAACCCAAGCATACCACTGCAAGACTTCAAGACACAGTTAGTTTATTAGGCGTAGATCGGACCAAAATTATTAATTAAAAAAGCTTAAGGTACTCCGGTTTAACACTGACATCGGGACGTCAATCACCTCAGTCCCCCGTGACCACGGTTGCTGGAAAGCAACCGAAACGTCGGGAATATAACATAAGTTAATTAAACGCGATAAAATCCGTAAAAATAGTTTTATTCAAGATGGTGTGTTGTTGTTGACCCTTTGAGCCACTGAGTTAGAAGTATATGGACTGGGCATACCTACAAAATTAGCGTGACTACCTAAACATATCTGGCGCATAAAATGACCGCCTTTTATAGGGTATTGTGACTCAGCAATATGGGCAGCTGATATCGATATTTTTACTAGTTAGTTTTATTGATATATAGGAAAGCAGGCATTTTTTCGAATAAAAGATTTTTTTCCCAAAAACCGATTATTTTTTTTAATTAAAATCGATTTTTCCTTAATCGATTAATATCACAAAGCAAAAACTCGATTTTTTAATAATCGATTTTTTCACTCAATGTCACATCCGTAATACTAGCACGTTCGCCGAGCGTGTGGATGCCATGTTTGTGTTGAGTTGAGTGATACTGGTCGGTGTTTGTTCGTATAGTCTGGCAAATGAAAGTAGGGACTGAAAAAGCGTGGCAAATTTAAAAAAATCTCAGCATAGTAACTCGAAAATTTGTTGAAGTACCTGGAATAACCTGACTTGATACGTTAGAGTTGTCTTTTTGTGTAAAACAATATTTGTAAACTACTGCTTGACAGCATGTGGACCCGTTCAAAAGAGTCTAAAAATGGGAACCTACGATACCTATTGTATGTAAAGTCGTATTTTTAATCAGACCAAGTAAACTGAAGTTTAGAAGTAAAAGATGTAAAATCATTTACCCATTATGATCCAAATCAAAGAGACATTCCGTGCGTGACATTTCGAAAATCAGTTTACTTCGATGGAATAAAAATACGACTGGGTATTATGTGATATTATCTGAATAAAAAAAAACAACAATATTCTAAAATAATTTTGGTTTATTCACTACCATAATCGAAATCTTAATCTAGGATTTCCATGTGGAAAGATTCATTTGTCCCACTGTAATCACAATCTCCAACATGAATAATAAAACTTTCTGAATTATCTTCTGTTATTCTATATATTTATTTTCAATGCGAATTACATGATCAGTCATTTTCTTCCATTTCTGTGGAGTTATGCTTTCAAAAGACTCTTTAATAAGTTTCTCTAAATCCTCAGCAGGCAGGGTAATATTTTTAGTAGCCACTTTACGTTTAGCCAAACTCCATACCAGGTCAATGGCATTTAGATCGCAGTGGTAGGGAGAAAGTCGCAATGCCTCATGCCCATTCTGCTTCAGAAGTTCATCAGCTTCATATACTGGTTCTGTTGTGTTTCGTTTTACAAGACATACCAGCTCTACTTTTGTATGATATTGTTCAAATGAAATATCATTCAAAGTAAGGCATTCTCTTATCTCATTTTTGCGACTTTGTGATGTAGGAGCTGTATTTACAATGATTGAATGGTAACTGGCATGATCCATAGCTAATGCACTCGGCTCATTTAAATTGGGTAAGACCTCTTCTCTTAGCCATTTATTAAAGTTAACGGCATTCATATCGTGGTGGTAGTCTGCCATTTTAAATTTAGTATCATATAGTATCATGCAGAGAAACGCCGAGCATAGCCCTCTCCATAGCTCACTGAGCGACTTTGGGCTTCCTCATACGGCAAACAGTGAAGGATCACGTCTCAGATCCATAACTCATAACTGGTAACGCGCACTGGCTGTAGATAGGCTTAAAAACGAGGATATCCGCAGTAGAACCAGAGTAATCGACGTAGCTCAAAAAATCAGTATGCTGAAGTAGCAATGGGCCGGCCATATTGCTCGAAGAACCGACAACCGATGGGAAAGAAAGGTTCACGAGTGGCAGCCTTGTACCTGCAAGTAAAGCTTAGGACGTCCCCCCAATAGATGGAATGATGACCTGGTAAGACATGCTGGGCTGTAATGAATAAATGAATAAAAACTATAATGAATTAGGCACAGGGCATTTCTTCGATCCAGCATGTAAAATTATGTACCTTTTCCCTGTTGAAACATTTTCAATCGCACCACTTGTAGATGGACCTTGTAAAGACTTCTTCAGCCTGTAGTTTTTATGAGTATAGGTTTCATCTAAATAAATTATTGACTTTCCTTCTCTACGTTTCAAAGCCATGGTTCTTAAAAACCGATGTCTCCAGGCAGATATGTCATAACGTCCAATTAATTTTATTTCTCTTAAAATCATATCCAATAATAAGTGGCGAAGAGTTTCCCGGCATCAATTAAATCCAATTCTTTCTCTTAATTCCACTTACAGAGTTCTCAACGTAGGAACTGGTTTTCTAATGATGTAAAATTCGTTAATTTTGTTACGAATAGCATCTATATCGAAAACTATGTAGGTTGGACACATTCTCCAGATTTTCTGTAAAATAAAACAATTTGTTTTAAATTTACAATGAAACACAATGCATAATAATGCACAACAATGTATAATAATGCATTATAATGATAGTGTTTAATGTATTTTAAACAGAATGTGAATCAAAGAAATAGTTTTGGTAAAATCATAAATAATAATTACGAATACAAACAAAGTATCAACATCAAAGGGTCATACTAACCTAAGAAATCCAACACCACACGTAAAAAATCTCGTTTCTGATTAAATTCGCAGTCTTTCTCTCGTTGTTTTTCTTGAAACTTCGAAATCATGCGAAACAACTTCGATCAATAATACCAACTAGATATCGGGTCGGCGTAAAAAATACGGCCAAGTAAATAACAGCGCACTGGAGACGTGAGCTCTTATTTCGTTTAGTTGATTTGAAACACAACCAATGTAAACATGTTTCAGAATGCCACAATGTATATTTAAACGTTGAAAGAATAATGCCCGAAAAAGCAATTTAACAGCCGGAGTGTCTTACTTTCGGTAAGTACATGTATAATAAGTTATATTTTAAACTCTAAACTAACAACTATTATCATATTTGAAACAAAATTACCGATTTTAAAGCACCCCTACAAATGTTTTGTTAAGGTTGGCCAATACACGCGTAAATATTTGTGAAACAGAACAGTAGAGTACATGGAGTAGATTTGTATTGTAATCATTTTTAGTAATTTGTTACCAGAACTTTACATAATGGTAATTGCTACTTTTGTCTCTGTTTGTGTAATTTCATTAGATACTTAGCTTTATTGTTTTTTTCAGCTTTCCTAGCAATCCGTTTACGTTTATTGTTGCCAAAGAAAGAAGAGATGACGTTTATAAGCCAGCTAAGAATTCAGTTATATGTTCGGATCACTTTGATAAATCGGATATATCTGAAAATACTAATCGACGTCGATTGGTTTGTAGCGGGTGGAAGGAAAAGGGGAGATCTCCCGCCGGGCAAGGTGTTCTGCCCGGGGAGCGGCCAACGCTCCGATTGGTAGTTCGGAGCTATTCTATATATGCTGCTTTAATTTCGGAACTTTGATAGCGCGATTTAGGCTTCGATGTGTTTCGCTTGTGGCGCGACGACAGCGCCGCCACATCACCCCCCTGCTCAGACCGGAGGTCGATAGTGCAGTCCGATTGCCGGTGCGTCCTTAAATGCCGGTGGGAAATGCATGCTGTGTGCGTAAGGGCAAGTGACGCCGGTGCGAATGATATGCCGGTGTGTAATGCATGCCGTACTACGCACTTACAAGTGATGCCGGTGAGAACAATGAGCCGGAGCAAGTGCCAGGGATTGCCTTGTAGTCTGCGGTGAGTCGAGAAGAAGGCAAGTAATCTGCGAGAGTGCCGTGAAGCAGAGGCGAGCAGTAAGGCTCAGAGCCGTGCCGAACACTGTAGCGCAGAGAGTAGCTTGAAGGAACAGGAAGCATTATTATTCCAGTGCTGCGATGAACCTTTGTAAAGCTAGATGGCTTGCAGAATGTGAAGACTGCAGATAATATCTGCTCGGGAGCGAATGAATGGGGTACTTAAGGATGATGAAGGTTTGAAGGTGTAATTTTCCGAAGGTTTATTGGTTGCGTGTTCATATCACGTCAGTTGGTAACCACTGTAGCGGGTGGAAGGAAAAGGGGAGATCTCCCGCCGGGCAAGGTGTTCTGCCCAGGGAGCGGCCAACGCTCCAATTGGTAGTTCGGAGCTATTCTATATATGCTGCTTTAATTTCGGAACTTTGATAGCGCGATTTAGGCTTCGATGTGTTTCGCTTGTGGCGCGACGACAGCGCCGCCACAATTTCATATTTAAGTAATAGAATGCAGAAAGTTATTATCAATGGTAAAAGTTCTTCCGGCTCACCTGTACTAATGAGTGTCCCTCAGGGCTCGATTCTTGGCCCATTACTATTTCTAGTGTATATTAATGACTTACCTTCTCTTGTAGAGGATAATCATGGTATAGTATTATTTGCTGATGATACCTCCTTGATTTTTAAACTTAAACGTCAATCATTTATATGTGACGAGGTGAATAATGCTATATCAAAATTAGTGCATTGGTTTAACGTTAATAATCTATTTAAACGGAAATAAAACTAAATGTATTAAATTTACAACAACGAATGTTAAAATTCTGAGTACCAATGTGTTTTTAAATGGGGAAGAACTGAGCCCTGTTGAATCCACTGTTTTTCTTGGCATCACTCTCGACGCAAAGCTTCAGTGGGGCCCCCATATATCCAAACTAGCAAGCAGACTAAGTACTGCAGCCTATGCTGTAAAAAAGATTAGAGGTTTCACTAGTGTCGAGACAGCTAGATTAGTTTATTTCAGTTATTTTCATAGCATAATGTCTTATGGGATTTTGCTATGGGGAAATGCGGCTGATTCAGAAACTATTTTTGTTTTACAGAAGAGGGCCATTAGAGCTATTTACAACCTAAAACCGAGAGAGACTCTTAGAGATAAATTTAAAGAAATAAATATATTAACTTTGGCCTCTCAGTATATTTCCGAAAATTTAATGTGAGTTCACAAAAACAAAGGTAGTTTTAGTAAAAAAAGTGATGTGCATTCTGTAAACACTAGGAACAAACACAAGCTAGTGATACCAGTTTCTCGACTCCACAGAGTCGGTAATTCATTCTTGGGGCAATGTATACGCTATTACAACAAGGTCCCGGAAAGTGTACAGGCTCTCTCTATTAGCAAGTTTAAATGTTTTGTTAAGTTGAAACTTGTATAAAAAGGGTTATTATAGTATAAATGAATACATGGTTGATAATAACCCCTGGGAATGAGGTGATCGCTTCCAAGCTGTTTCTAAAATAAATTTTGTACTTATATAGTTTGTACAACCATTATTGTAAAGTTTGCTTTAAAAAAAGTCCCGCTGGGTTTCTTGCTGGTTCTTCCCAGGACAGAGGTTTTTTTTCGAACCAGTGGTAAAGTAAAAAATGACTTTCAATAAGAATTACACATGTGATCTATATTGAATAAAAAATTATTCTATTCTATTCTATTCTATGATATATATATATATATATATAACATATGCTACAAACATATATATGTTACTGTAAAAGCCCGAATTTAGGTGAATCTTAGGTTTTACTTTTAAATCCTAGGATCTCATGGTCGAGCTGGTAAATGTAAGGATTGATATAAAATGCGACGATTTTTCGCGCTTTTACCGTTAGAGTTTGGTGCATCCTAAGTTTAACCAAAGACTACCATTGTTTGTTTTGGAAATGAAACAATATATTTATATAAGTAGAAAGTATTTATTAAACATTGAATCATATTACCTGCATAATTTTTAAACATTTTTATGGTGATTTCTGAAAGTAAAATATAGAAAAATAAAGAGGCTTGAGTTTGAAAGTAGAATATAGAAATAAAGAGATGATGTATCGATTCACAACAAATCGATTTCTAAAATATCGATATTTTTTCAAAGACTGGCTCATTGAATATTCTTGGCGAAGAAAAATAAAAATAGCGTTTAATATAATAACATTATATTTAATGACTAGTGTGGAAAGTATGTATACTAACAAACATAAATGCGCAAAATATAAACAATTCTAACTAAACTTATGATCATATCATAAATTACTTTAGTGTTCACCGCGACTCCTTAATTTTTTCGCTAAATTTGAAGAAGCAAACAGAAACGAAACAAAACGACGTAGCTTGTAAGGCAATAACGGGAAAAAGTACTTTAAATTTTATGACTTAAGGTTAATTTCACACTAAATGTTGCATAGAATTGTTCTTTTTTTTAACTAATGATCGTAAGATTTGTGACATTATGACTAGATGCCATGGTTGTAATTGGGTTGAACATAAAACTGTAGGTATTAATTTTTTGTCTCAGTTCTTTAGTAAATAAATGTAGCTGTATAAGTATATATTCACGCGGACAGCATTTAGCTATGATTTTGTACGTGACCCGTTATCTAGTTGGTATTGTTGATCTAAGCGAAACAAGATCTCCCGCACTCCACTTTAAGGCCGGCCACACACATAAGGAATTCCGTTTCGGGATTTCGTTTCGGAATTCCGAGCTGGTCGGCTACGGAATTTACACGGAATCCCGTTTTGCCCGCAAAATTTCGAACGGAAAACTACCGTACGTGTTTGACGGGTCATATATTTTATATGAACTTGCTGCGTTCTTGAATCGGAATATCGAAACGGAATCCCGAAACGGAATTCCGTATGTATGTGGCGGGCCTTAATCGTTTTATTCATGTTTAAGGTCGGCCACATACATACGGAATTCCGTTTCGGGATTCCGTTTCGATATTCCGATTTGGAATCCCGAACGCAGCAAGTCCATATAAAATCTATGACCCGCCACACACGTACGGTTTTTTTCCATACGAAATTTTCTCCGATTCGAGATTCCGTATGACCGCCTGTGCGTTTGGGATCCCGAACGGAAAAAAGCTGCTTCGAACGCAAGTCTTCCATAGATTTTGTACGAGTCGCAACACACATACGTCAATTCCGTACGGAACGCACTCAGTGATAGCAGGCAGGGTAGCAGGCAGCCGGGCGCTAGCGCCGCGCTAGAAATAGTTTCCGCGCTGGCCGACGCCGAGCGCTGTCGCGCGATATCATATATCTGTGCGCTGTGGAAAGATAGCGCGCTATAATATGACGCTATGCGCTATATTAACCACCACTAATATTATGCCGCGTGTGGACGCACAACCACCAAGCATGTGGATGCTTGTAGAAGTGGACGTTGAATCAATAAACTGTTTTTTTAACGGGTTTTCATTCGTCAATGTTGCAAATGCAATGAAAAAACAAGTTGAAAATATTAGCTGTCAATTTACGTCAACACACTCAACGAATTATTTCAATATTATTTTATTTCTTTCTATGAATTTAGTCTCCTTCTTAGACATGGCGTTAATGGTTAAATTAATTTTAATTGTTAAAAGTTATTTGTTAATTTTTTTAACAGATAAAATTAACAGTTAAAAATATTACTTACTTTCATATTGAATTTTTATTTTTAATCAGTTCATGTTAATTTTGTTACTTAAATTTTACGCCGGAAATTTTAATTGAATGAACATTTCTTCATACTTTAATAGGCACAGGAATCTATAGTGTTAAAAAGTCTTATTAAGCTAAGCGTATTTCAAAATTTATTAATTCAATATTTACATTATATTATAATTAACGAGAAAATGTTGATTATTTGCAATGATTATTAGGTATTTAGATTTACTCTAAAAAATATATTATATATG